TATGGGTTTTATTGGCCATTTAAAGGTATTTCAACAGGTAAAAAAGAACTGCATAAGCAAAATGACTTGATTGCATTTGAGGGTTATATTTGACGGATTATAGCTCATGCAGTCCTTTTTACATGTTGAAATACCTTTAAATGGCCAATAAAACCCATAAAATGCAGTTTTACACTTTACGCCAAAAAGTGATTACAGGCGCCAATCAGTTTTCGGCAGACGATTAATTTTCGGCACGACACCGGCGGATGACGTAGTAAGTCGGCGTTGCGTGATTAGTGCCAAATGCAGAGAGAGAACCAAACAAAAAATGCCGGTCATGAATTAGAAGTACAAACCGAGGATTTGCAAAGAAAAATGTCGGTGGATTTCGATATAAGCCAAGAGAAACAAACTCGCGAGACTAGCATATCTCAGAGGCGCGCGCTGCGTCATCCGCCGGAACGGCTTCCGCTTATGACATATAACGGAAGTGAGAGAAAAGTGTTTATTACGTTTGAAATATGGATATTTTTCTTACAAAAACACATGGATTCGCTACAGGGGGCCTTTATTCATCCCCCGGAGCCATCTGCGGCACGTTTTATTATGGATGCACGAGCTTTATTTGACGACTTGTGGACCGTTCAACTGCAACACTCGCTGACTGCAATGATAGCGCTTGGAATAGCCAGGACAATTTTTAATATAACTCCGACTGGATTCGTCTGAAAGAAGAAAGTCATATACACCTAGGATGCCTCGAGGGTGAGTAAAACACAAGCTAATTTTCAGTTTTGGGTGAACTAACCCTTTAAAGCCCGACATGAATGAAGGACATATCGTCATGCAGAGGTGAGAATTGAGGATGGAGGGAGGGAGCTTCCTGAGGTTGCTTGAGGGAGGAAACACAGGAGCATCCTATGTGGAAGCCTTTTTGTCCTAAATTGTAAATTCATGTGTCACAATAGCTTTAATTCATGTTGTACTTTTGAACTTAAATAATCTTGCTTTATTAATACGTACTATGAATTAGTTAACCAAACCTCAGCAGCATAACAACAAGTCTCTTGAATGCAACTGAAGACACTTTTAGGTGACACTTGAGTGATGAAGAATTTTCAGTTTACAAGTATTCATCATTGCTCCAGTGGTCAGGAGAAAGAAACATGTAAGTGTGGTTCTGTGAATTCTGGATACTAGAGTCCTTTCTCACTCGTAACGTGTGAGACAGGCCTCAATCTACGTCATCAGGTGACTTTGTATTTTCTCTTTACTGTGCTTGGCACAGACTGTGGTGGTCATGTGGAATTCACAGAGCCACAGTTGCATGTGTAAATAAGATTTTAAAACAGCCAACCAATTTCGGATTGGGCAGATCATTTTTATTGGCCGATAACAATACACTGGCAACAGATCATCAGTGCATTGCTAGTTGGAACTTGGAAGCATTCTAGTTTGTTGTATTGTGTGTGAGAGTAATATTTGATAAGTGTGATATTTAATTCTTTTAACATAATGTGCATCCAATATGGAATAACATTGTTGAATACTGGATTGAAGAGTCAGGCAAATTAAAACATTCCTTACAGACTAAGGTTTCTGTGTAGAATTTGGATGTAATAAAAGCATTTTGACAGAATATTAACAGAAGTCAAGTTGTGTAAAGTTTTGATTTGACATCCTCTTTTGTGACATGATAAACTATTCTTGTGACTGCGTAAGTGAGCCATTCTTTACCACATGTGCCATCAACAATGCTCATGTATGTAAAACTGAAGTGTCCAGCATCCATGGAAAGTCCTTCAATATTCTCAGGATGCACCCCAATAGGGTGTTTGAGATAATCCCTAATAAGAACATAATTGTTTTTTAAACACACTATATGGACAAATATGGACTTTAATGACACTGCATTCTAAATACAGGGACATTAAAGGTGCTGTATGTATTTTTTAAATTTTATGTACATAAAGCATATACCATATTATGTTTGCAGATATTTAAGAAACATGCAAATTTCACATACTTGTTTCTCCAAAAAACAATGCTACAGCCAATTATTCTACTTTGTAATGTGCGTTCAGTGTCGGAATGTCTGTTTTTGTTTTGGTCTGTGATTCCGCCCATTGCCGATTTACCCAATAGTATTTTGACACCCTGGGTTGCCAGTTGTTGGAAAACACAGCGTATTGTAGCCATGGAAGCCAACAGATGAACTGAGTCAGAGAATGCAGATTCTACCGACCTTAAAAGCATTGGTATCCATCTAAAAACCTTTCTTACCAGAGGGAATTAAAACATGGGCAAATCAGGGTTCCTACACGGTTTGGAAAAGTTGGAAAAGCACCATTAAATTTTTTTGCCCCTATTTAGTTTTTTATAATAGAAAACTAAGAATTTAATGAAAATAAGTTTATCATACAAGAAGTGTTTTCATGGCAGTTGTTTAGAACTGAAAGAATTCATGGTGCATTTTTCATTATGCAAATGTTTTGCTTTCTTCTCATGATATTTTTAGCACAGTATGACGTAGCCTCAAGGACTTTTGCAAAAATAAAAAAATATACAGACTTTTATATGTGCACAAGAAACCATTTATCTTTAACATTAAACCATTTAATTTAACCATTGCGTTAAAGTGACCTATGGCCTTGAAATATAACATACTGCCCTAACACTTTTGAACTCAAGTGGTAAGGATGATCATGAGAAAGATGAGGGATCAGCCCAGAACTACACGGGAGGAGCTTGTTAATGATCTAAAGGCAGTTGAGGCAACAGTCACCAAGAAAACTGTTAGTAACACAACGCCACAATGGATTGAAATCCTGCAGCGCCCGCAAGGTTCCCCTGCTCAAGAAGGCACATGCACATGTACAAGCCCATCTGAAGTTTGCCAATAAACATTTAAATGACTCAGAGAAGGCTTAGGAGAAAGTGCTGTGGTCAGATGAGACCAAAATTGAGCTCTTTGGCATTAACTCGACCCGCTGTAAGGGAGAGAAATGACCCCATGAACACCATCCCTACTGTACATTCAAGTACGGATTTGGAAACATGTTTTGGAGCTGTTTTTCTGCTACGGGTACAGGACGACCACTGCAGTGAGGGGCCGATGGACGGGATCATGTACTTTAAAATCTTGGACGAGAACCTCCTTCCCTCAGCCAGAACACTGAAGATGTGTTGTGGATGGGTCTTCCAGCATGACAGTGATGCAAAACATACTACCAAGGCAACAAAAGAGTGTCTCAAGAAGAAGCAGATTAAGGTCATGAAGTGGCTTAGCCAGTCTCCAGATCTCAATCCTATAGAAAATCTGTGGAGGGAGCTGAAACTTTGAGTTTCCAAGCAACAGCCGAGAAACCTTAAGGATTTAGAGGATCTGTAAAGAGGCGTGGACCAAAATCCCTCCTGAGATGTGTGCAAACCTGGTGACCAACTACAAGAATAATAATGACATGGATAATGACACTAAACATACTGCGAAAGCAACTCAAGACTTTTTGAAGGCAAAGAAATTCAATATTCTTCAACGGCCAAGTCTGTCTCCTGACCTCAATTCAATAGAGCATGCTTTTCAGTTACTGAAGACAAGCCTGAAGGCAGAAAGACCCACAAGCAAGCAGCAACTCAAGGTGGCTGC